AATATTTTATTTTAAAATTAGGTCTATGAAGTAGTAACAACAGTTTATGAAGCATTTTACAATTTTTTTTTTTTTTTTACTGTTACTGTGGTGAAAACATACACAACAAGACATTCGCCAACATAACAACTTCCTCATTCACAGCTCAGGGACATTGATGACATTTTTCATGTTGTGCCACCATTATTGCTATCCTTTTCCAAAATGTTCCACCACCATTAGCATAAACTCAATGGCCCACAAACAAGAGCTTTTCCTTTCCCCCTCCCTCCTACCCCTGGTAACTGCTAATAATTTTTGGTATGTAACTATATCTATATATTTTTCACAACCTATCTATAAATTTGTGACCACATACCCAATCCCTGATAACCAACAATGAAAGTTCCCTTCCATGTATAAACCTTTCCCTGACTTTTTACAATAGTGAACTAACACAATATTTGTCCTTCTGTGATTGACTTATTTCACTCACCATAATGTCCTCCAAGTTCACCCACATTATGTGGTGGTTTGCAGATTCTATATTATTCTTCAGTGTTGCATAGTATTCCATTGTGTGTATATACCACGCTTTGGTTATCCATTCCTCTATTGATGGGCACTTAGGTTGTTTCCATCTCTTTGCTGTTGTGAATAGTGCTGCAATGAACATGGGTGTGCATATATCTGTTCTTGTCGTGGCTCTCACTTCTTTAGGATATATTCCAAGTAATGAGATTGCTGGCTTAAATGGTATTTCTGTTTCCAAGTTTTTAAGGAATCACCATACTGATTTCCCCAGTGGTTGTATCATTTGACAGTTCCACCAGCAGTGTAAGAGAGTCCCAGTCTCTCCATATCCTCACCAGCATTTGTTATTTTCTGTCTTGTTGAACTTGAGTGCGCTCTTTCTTCTTAACAATAAATCTCAGAGGAAATCATCCGTATCGGCTTTTTCATCGTATTTCCTTACAGGAATGTATCGTAATTCATCTAACCAGTCCCCTGCTGGTACTAACGGGTATTTAGTTTATTCTTTTTGCAATTATGAATAAAACCACACTGAACATTCTTGAACACATATCTTCACATGGGCCTTGATCAAGTACATTCTCTTAAATCCAGCTGTTGGGTCAAATTTTTGTGTTTGTCACTCTTCAAGAGAGACCAGTTTCTTACCAATAGCACAACACCTACACCCACTTTTTGGAGATTTTTTTTTTCTTTTTTACTTGTGGTGAAAACATACACAAGACATTTGCCAACATAACAACTTCCGCATTTACAGCTCAGGGACATTGATGACATTTTCCATGTTGTGCCACCATTATTGCTATCCTTTTCCAAAATATTCCACCACCATTAGCATAAACTCAATGCCCCACAAACAAAAGCTTCTCCTTTCCCCCTCCCTCCTACCCTTGGTAATCACTAATAACCTTTGGTATCCCTCGTAACCAACAAAGTAAGTTTGCTTCTGTGTATAAACGTTTATTTCCTTGACTTTTTACAATAGTGGACTAATACAATATTTGCCCTTCTGCGATTGACTTATTTTACTCAGCACAACGTCCCCTTTTGGAAACGTTGGTATGAAATATAACATGTGTATAGGAAAGTGCCCAAATTGTAACTGTGCAGCTTCCTGACTTTCCACAAACCAAACACACTGTGTGCTCCAGCACCCCCATCAGAAACAGATGTTACCCGCACCCAGAAGGCCTCTTAGCACCACCTCGAGTCCTTGCACAGTCAGCCTGAGGCCTGTCTCCAGCCCGGTGCTCTGAGCCTTGTCTCTTGCCCAGGCCTCATGCTGGACTCAGTGAAGGAGCCAAGGATGAGAAAGAGGCAGATCTTGTCCTCAGAAACCTTATAACAAACAGAAGAAGGTAGCAGAGCCAAAACTGAATATAGTGTGAAAAAAGAGAGGGACCTTTCAGAACCACAAACACAGTGTTAATGGACAGCAAAGAAAAGACTTGCCGTCTGACCAAGAGGGCTCTAGAAGGGCTCTGATGAGAGCTCATAGTGCTTCTGAAGGGCCTTGCGAGTGACACGGAGAGTGGGAAAAGGAATGGTATAAGCGAAGGTGCAGAGGTCAGAAACTGAAGTGGTCCAAGGGATCGTCAGTGAGACTGATGGAGAAGTAGTGGGAGAAGTTGGGGAGGTAGTCTGGGGCCATATGTTAGACTCCCTTTTGTTCTGAGACAAGGAGCTCTGGTGGTATAGTGGGTAAGGCATTTGCCTGCTAACTAGAAAGTTGGTGGTTCAAACCCACCAGCTGCTCCACAGGAGGAAAATGAGGCCATCTACTTCCATAAAGGTTTCCAGCTTTGAAAACCCTGTGGGGGTCGCTGTAAGGCAGAATCAACTTGATGGCAGTGGGTTTGTTGTTCTGAGACCAATTCCTAAAACAAATTTAATTACTCTGTCCTCTAGCTCCTCCTTCAGAACCCAGACGCTGAGCATACTGGTGAAGCCTTCTGTAGTCAGCTCCCAGTTGCCCATCCTGCCTCCTCTCCTATCCCATCTCCCATCTCCCCGACTGCAGACACCCGGCATTCCTGTGGGACGCTTGACCCTTCCCCATGCCGTGCCTGGGCTTGCTTGCTCACTGTGCCTCTTGTCTGGCATGTTCTCTGACCCCGGAAAAACACCGTCTCTTCTGACATGCCTTCTCCAGCTGCCCTGTTCGCCCCCTGGTTACAGTGTTCACCTTATTTAACCAGGATGCTATGCAAACTCATCTGTTTCCTAAACAAGACTTTCAGTTGTTCAGAAGCCAGAAACCCTGTCTTGTTCTCTTTATGTTATAGCACGGGGCCTGGGTGTTTCTTAAGCGATTGAATGAGAATTTGTCTTTAATTTGACTGAGAGTGAGGAACTATTAAAGGTTTGATGGGAGAGGAGTGGTTTGCCTGGATGTGGACTCCAGGGAAGTTCACCTGGCAATGGCCTGTGTGCAGGGGCTGAAGAGAGGAGAGGCAGGAAGGTGGTAATTGGGACAGGAAGTCGTGGCGATGCTGGAAGGGAGGGACCATGTTGTGCCCCTTTGCCTTTGTGGTTGCTGGAAGATTGGTTGGTAACACAGTAGTGCCCTCTGTTCTCAGATAAGCTGAACCTTCTAATCTGAGCTTTTTCATTACCAGCCCATGAACCCAATTCCAGCACCACTGCCGCCTGACATGCCAAGCTTCAACTTCATTGGCGACAGCCTGTCTTTTGACTTCAAGGATACTGACATGAAGCGGCTCTCCATGGAAATAGAGAAGGAAAAGTACGTAGCCCTCCCGTGCCCTGCTCTGGCCCCACCGCAGATCTGGGAGTAGGCGGCGGTGAGCTGGAGTGAGTAGACCCGGGCCTGCGGAGAGTACCGCAGCAGCCTGCCACTTGCTCCTGCACAGGTCAGCTCTGTTCTCACCCACCGGGGGGAGATTCCTTCACCAGAAATCAAGACAACAGACTTTCAGGGCAGAAATAACACTTGATTGGTGACTTAGAATTCATAGTAGCTCAAAACCTCCCCTGAGATCCAGCTGTCTGGTCAGGGGTTCGAGACAATCCCAGTTTGGCTCACACGGTAGTAGCCTGCAGTTGTCTCTTAGTGTGTTATCTCTAGGCCGGCAGCACTCCCTGTGATGGGCAGTGGTTCCCACGTCCAAAAGAAGCTCAGGCTCGAGGCTGAGGAACCGTGGCTGGGTGACTTGCCCAGTTTGGCCAGCTCTGCTTCATGGTGAAGAGCCCTGGCTCTCCATGGTCACAGCAGCTTTGGCCGAGCTGTCTTTCACCTTATTTAGGTGGAGTGCATCCGAGTCCCTGGGTGGTGCAGATGGTAAAGGCATTTGGTTAATGTACTTGCCGGCTGACTGAACAGTTGGAGGTTCACGTCTACCAGAGGCACCTTGGAAGCAAGTCCTGCTGGTCTTCTTCCGAAAAACCAGCCAATGACAACCCTGTGGAGCAGAGTTCTACTCTGACGTGTGTGGGTCCCCATGAGTCAGTTCAACTCTATGACAGCTGGTTTTACTGATTTGGAGCAGAGATGGAAAGGGTTCCCACAGCCAAGGAGTCCACCTGAGATCCTCTTGTCCCTGGAGCCCTGGGTAAACGGGCTGCTCTCATGTCACAGAGTCTATGGCTGATGCCACACCATTTCTGCCCCAGGCGCTAGGGAACAGTCACAGTAGCAGCAATGCATCGAGTGCCTGTGTGTCAGGCATTTCTTGCTTTCCTCTTATTTGATTCCCATGACTGCTACCACAGGCAGGTTTTACCATTCCCATTTTATGCATGGGAACCCAGATTAGAGAGAAACTCATCCAGTGTCACTCACTTAGCTGATGAGAGACAGAGCCAGGATTCAACCTTTGACCCCTCTGACACTACAGCCTTTGTGCTCTTCTACCTGTAGTGTCCTTGGGATCATTTCCTTGGGAAATTCTGCCCTTGGAGTCCAGGTGGGCAGCCAGGAGCCACGTTGTGTTTCTCCTGAGGGCTAGCCTGCCGAGGGTGTAGACGAGTGTCTGGGGAACCAGGGGTCCCTTGTCTCCGTTGTCCGAGTTCCCCTCCCAGCTTCCTCCATAGTCCAGGCATTCACAGTCATGCGGTTGTAATCGGGGAAGGCCACATCTTGTTCTAGGTCCTATTTTTTTTTTTTTTTTTTAAATTTTTATCGTGATTGGCGTGGATATTTGGAAAGCAGGTTCATTTTACTGTCAACAGTACATACGCATTTTGTTTCACAGCACCAATTACAGTCCCAACAATGAACAGTTTTCCTCCATCTCCACCCTGTTACCATATCTGCCCTGTGTCCTTCTTACCTGTGCATTTCTGTCTGTCTGGCTTCCCCCTTATGCAAATGCTGCCTTTCTGATCTCTCAGGGTTGATTGTTCTAAAGGATGCATCTCCCTGGGGTAGGTGTTCCCCTCGTAGGCTGAGAGCTAATCCATGGAAGTGAGTCTAGTTCCAGGCCTAGAGGATAACCCGGGGCCATAGTCTTAGGGGTTCCACCAGTCTCTATCTGACCAATAATTCTGGTCATTTTTTGTGTTCTTGAATTTTGTTCCAAATTTTTCCTCCCTCTCTGCCCAGAATCTCCAATTTTGATCCTTTTCCAAGTAATTGGCATTGGTAGCCGGGCACCATCTAGTTCTTCTGGTCTCAGGGTTGTGAAGGCTGAGGTTTCTGTGGTCCTTCAGTCTCTTGGACTAATTATTTCCATATGTCTGATTTTCCTCACTCTTCTTTGCTCCAGACTAGGAGAGACCAATAGTTGTGTCGCTGTCCTGCTTTTTTATAGTTTCTATTTTCTTCCTATCCTTGTGCGTATTGACAGTCCATATAGTAGCTATTATAGTCACTATGGAACATTCCTTTTTATGGCTTGCCTGGCCTTGCCATTGTTCTTGGAGCCTGAATGGTTTCCATATTTCCACCATCAGAGATATTGTTGCTTAATGTATCTACTTGCTGGTAATGGTAGGGATTGTACGGTCCCTTTCCAGAGGGGATCTTCTTCCTTATGTTGGCTGAGTGAGCTTCTGTCATCTTTTGGAGATGTAGTCCCCCAAAAAGTGGAGTGTGTATGTGGCGTATCAGAAGATGTCACTTGAATTACTGCTCTGAGAAGGATCAAGACAAAGATTGTTTGAGTGCCCGGAGTCTGGTTTCATGTGTTGCCTGTTATAGAACTAAGAGCTATCTCTGATAACTGGTATTTGTAGAGAGCTTCAGAGAATTTACGGAAGGCTCTCGTGTACTTTATTGTATTTAATTCCAATTTTATGGAGGAGGAAGAAGCCTCTGAGCAGTCAGGCGACTGCCCTAAGCTCCCAAGCCCGTGTGTGGCAGAGACATCATCCACAGGCTTCAGGCCCCGGGTCCCATGCTGGGCAGCTCACAGTGGCGGGTCGTCTCTGCTGTGCTGGCGTCTCTCACTGCTGCCAGAGCCGTGACACGCAGTCTACTTTTGTTGGCAGAGTGGAGTATATGGAGAAGAGCAAGCATCTTCAGGAGCAGCTGAATGAACTCAAGACGGAGATCGAGGCCTTGAAACTGAAGGAAAGGGAGACGGCGCTGGACATCTTGCACAACGAGAACGCCGACAGGGGCGGCTCCAGCAGCAAGCACAACACCATCAAAAAGGTAGCCCAGCCTCTTGCCTTTTGCTGATGGTTGTTGTTATGTGCCCTCGAGTCAAATCCGACTCATAGCGACCCCTCCTTGGGTTTCCGAGGCAGTATCACTACGGAAGTAGGATTGCCCAACCTTCCTTCCGAGGAGTGGCTGGTGGGTTTGAACCGCCAGCCTTCTGGTTAGCAGTCAAGTGCTTTAGCCACTATGCTACCAGAGCTGATGGAGGTACTCGTTAATGAAATGGGAGACTGGCATCTGGTTTCCTCAGGAGCCAAGTCATTAGACTCTTGTCATTTTGTATATGTACTTAGTTGAAGGAATTTTCTGACTCATGCCAGAAAGGGAATTTAATCTGGCACTGACTGTGAACCCATGGGCTTGATGGAAGTGGAGCTCGTGTTAAAAGTTGTGATGGAAGGAGTCTCTGTTACGGTCCAGGTTTTGATCCATTGATCAGCAGTAAGCAGCTCTGTCTTTTAATCAAGGGCAGCTATGCCCAGGAAGCTGCCTCACTTCAAATGAGAAAGCAAAGGGAAGCGGAGGCCGTGCAGAACAGGCGCTCCCTCCAGTCTTTTGTGTTTTTAAGTGTCAAGGACTATGAAAGTCTATTCTTGATTGGGAGTCCATAGCCTGAATTTTTAAACTTTTTTCATGCTCAGTATCAAGGAGAACCTTCAAGTTTTAAAAGATGTGACTTCATTACGCTGATAGCAATTTCTTGTCTTTGTCCACTGGTATTTTGAGGTTTCAGCATTAAAAAAAAAAAAAGAAAAAGCAAACCCACTGCAATTGAATCCATTCTGACTCATAGCAACCCCTACTGAGTTTCCAAGACAGTAAATCTTTACAGAAGTAGATTGCCCATTCTTCCACCTGGTGGGTTTGAACTGCCAACCTTCTGGTTAGTAGTCACATGCCTTAGGCCCTGCGCCACCAGAGCTCCTTTTTTTTAGTATTTTAGAGGAAGATAAATTCCATTACTAATTATCAGCCCGAGAGTCACTTCTGTTTTGTTAGGCAAAGAAGGACGGTTCCCTCTTGCCAATTGCTGCTCTACCCTTAACTCTTAGCCCAGGGTCAGCAAAGAGCTGTCATTTAGCTAAGACTTACATTGAGGTTAGGTAATGACTGGTGTGGTTAATTGTTAACTCTGTACCTCGGTCTTTAAAATGATTGCTCAGTTTAAGAAATTTCTCTGTTGGCTGTGTTTAAGCCATATGTGAAGAAGCAGAGAGATTTTTGTCTCCCTCATTCTCAGTGGGTACAGTGGGGACCCCAAATTCTGTCTTAATTCAAATGCAAATCATTGCCAAGTAGTCAGTTCTTTCTAAAATAGCATGACCAGAAGGAAAGGCCTTTCCACATCTCTAGCTTGTGTGATTTGCGGGGATTCTCTTACACAACAGAGTTATTAAACAGTTAGCAAAAATGGAGTTTTTTTTTTTTAAAAAAAAAAAAAAAAAGAACAGGATGGCCTCCGCCAGGGAGCAGCAGTAAAACGATGAATGGGCCAGGGAGCCGGTCTATATTGTCTGAGTTGCCCCCTGGAACCCACTCCCTACTCCCTGCCTTGTCATCTCAGCACCAGGAGCAGTTGAATCTTCTGCTGTTGCCATGAGTTGGGCCTCAGTCACAGCAGCCTGGAGTGCGGAAGGCTGGAGAGACCCATGTCCCAACCCAAAAAAGCAACACACGAGAAGTCACTTGGCACGATTTCAGGCCTGTCTGAGCATTTTGCAAATGACACCCGTGGCATTGTTGATATCACAAGGGTATGTTTTTGTTTTTCTTCATTTTGCTGGTTTAGCCTCAAGCCCAAGGCAGAAGACCTATCTGCATTTGAGCCCTCAAAGTAGGTTATCACCAGGTACTCTGTATGTGGTGATGGTACTGCCCTCTGTGATACTAACCCATGCATGAGCTTGCCTGTCATTGTCCTTGGACAGCACCCGAGCCCTCCCACAGGCTGGTGGCGCCTGGATGCTAGCCACAGCATGCTTTGAGTCTGAGAGCAGGCATCCACCCTGGGGTCTGGAATACTGCCTCATTCTGAAGAGCATGTCATGGAGTCATCGGACCAAGCGTCCTTCACACCTGTTTCACTGTTGGGCTGGGGATGGTCATGGCTTCTTGTCCAGTGAGGTGTGTCTGAAAGTCCTTTGTCTTGATGGTGTCCTCCTTAGATGAATAACCCTAGCATGGCAATGGGGCCAATCTGGTGGTGTTCACAACTAGTGTCTTTGACTCATGAGTACGCCCCCTGAAGACTCATGGTCACACCTGGCAGCTTCTGGCCATTGATGAAGGGACTGCCGTTTTCATTCACTCTCTTGCCAAGCCTCCCCTTTCTGTGCACATCCATTTTCTTCTCGAGGAAAGCAAACAAACAGCGCAAGGGTCTGAATTGTAAGTCAGTCTGAGTTCGTTCCGTCAGCGCTCCAGGGGTCGTCCCTGCTTCTGCTTCTCCGTGGCCTGGATGGCCTTGTGGTTGGAGTGGACTCCCGCTAGAGCAGAGCAGTCGCAGGCACCCAGTGGACGAGCGCTCGACGGCTGCAGCGTGAACTAACAGAGTGATGGCTGATTTTCTTCTGCCACTGCGTGTCATTCTTCCAGCGTTCCCAGGCAGCGGGGAGAACTGATTATGCCCAATAACAAAATGACATCCTGCCTCTGCTGCTTACCCACTCCCCAGTAGTCACCCTGCCAGTGAGCCAGATAGTAGCATGGGCCGTGTGGTTTGGAGCTCTCATTGCACTTTCTGCTACTGGAACAGAAGCAGCACATTGGAAGTTCTCCATGGGACCTGGCATCAGATAGATCCAATTTGTGGTTGTTATCTAAGCAAGAGAGGTTAGACATTAAAGTACCAGATGGTCCTTATTGTAAGATTGGATTCGAGGTATCAGTTTGCAAAAAGGGCAAGGAGGCAGCATCTTTTGATCTCCTCCAACTTCACAAGGGGTAAACAGAGTCACCATCAACAGCCCAAGGCTTATTCCTGTGAGACCAGACACGCCGTCACCCTCCAGCCTTTTTACCGATTCTGACACCAACCGTCCCTCCTACAGCACTCACTGCTCTGCTGGGTTCAGTAATTCATTGCAGTGGCCACACATGATTATGAGGTTTATAAGGGAAGTTAACAGCCTACAGCTCAGGTTCGGGAACATGCTTAGGATGCAGTTGTTTGATCAGGACAGTCTGCTCTCTGCTGTGCCCTCAGGTATGGCTCTCTGGCCCTTGGTCTCTCGGCCTGGCCTTGGTCCTGCTTGGGCAAGTGTGTCACAAAGCTCTTTTAGCTCTGCTGATAGGTACACCTCCGTGCACCCGACTCCTCCAAAGGCGCTCAGCTTTCTTGCTTTGTGGGCCAAACAAGCCCCTAATCTATCTCACGCTTCTTGGTTCCATTGCCCCCACCTCTCAGCTGGCATCTCTGGCGAGGAGATCCAACGCAGGGATCTCCGATCCAAGGACGTGCTCCACTCCACCTCCAGCTCTTCTCTCTTGATGGCAGTGAGATCTCCCTCCCTGCCTCTAGGAGGGCTCACTTTAAGCCCAGCAGAAATTCCCACATTAGAGTTCCATGCACTTTATTTGCATGGTCCCACCCAGTAATCTGGTGGGAGTCGCAGCGACCATGGCTAGAAAAGGAACCAAGGAGTTCACTGCACCACACAGTTGTTCCATGGCATGAACGGACACTTTAGTGTAGCAGGCTTCAGTTTCTTCATCTTGCATACGAGGCTTGGGTGTGGAAGAGCCTAATGTGACCGAGCAGTACGTGCAGGGTCAGAAATAGGTTGGCTCTGACCAAGGCTGTTAGAACCAGCATTGGAATGGGCAGGTCAGGTGACTCATGGCTCAAGCAGTGAGCTCCTGGGCCCAGTAGACTCTGCGGTGGACTCCCTTTGGTTTCCTGAAGTTTGTAGTTAAACAGAACCAAGCAGAAAAGTCCTTTTTGTGTCCTTAGCTGTGAGGACCCTGTGGCCAGTGACCAGGAGTGAGGACCACCTTCTTCCTGTACTGGGGTGGCTCTGGGTAGGGCCTGCTGCAGTCTAGGCTGACGGGAGCTGAGCTGAAGGGAAGTCTACCTACGGCTTTGGATGGATGGTCCCTGGAAAGTCAAGGCCAGAGCTCCATCTAGCCAGTCGGAGAGGAGAACTGCAAAGGCTGGTGGTGAACCTGGAGTGTTTCCAGAGCCCTGAGTGCTCATTAATCTTGGTTCAGACCATCCTGCATTGATTTGTATTTGGCTTTTAGTGTTCTTCTGTCATAGATTTCTTCAATGAAAGGATGGTTCTCCTAACTCCCACCATCTAGGCACATTCCTCCTCCCTGTTTTCTGTTTCCTGTGCCCCATGGAGAGGTCTTGGTGTCTGGTACAGTATCATCAGTACCCCTGGGTGCCGTGCAATGCTTGAGCTCATCCAGGGGCAACTCCTCAGGAAGACCTGGGGCTGGGGGATAGAGGGAGGAACTGTTCTCTTGGGGTGCTGAGTGGCGGTCCAGTCAGGTAACTGAGGTTTGGCCTCACCTTTCTGCTCTGCCACTTACTTACTCTGTAGTACTTACTTGACCGTAAGGCTCAGCATTCTCACCTGTAAAAGGGAGAACAGTGGTCCTTACCCCATAGGACTGTTGGGAGGGTAAATAAGGTCACGTGTAGGAACTGCTCAGTCTGCAAGGGTGGAAGGCAGGTGTCTGGGGCTGCACTCCCCTACTGATGCACAAACTTTGGGATTAAAACCAAACCAAACTCACTGCTATCAGGTCGATTCTGACCCATCGTGACCTCATTGGGTTTCCAAGGCTGTGAATCTTGATGGAAACAAACTGCCTCATCTTTCTTCTGTGGAGCAGCTTGTGGGTTCAAACCAGCTTGTGGGTTCTATGGCACGCCATGTGGGCACACCAAATGTGGGTGTAGAACCCGGAAGGAATTGCAGTAGCCAATTGTAACTCTTGCTTTTGGCTTCTGTCTTGGCGGAAGCCAGGGAGGCCTGGGCAGG